AATAAAATACAACTAATATAGAATTTAATAAAAATGTAAATAAAACTCTGTTTAATTCATGTTTTTACATTAGGAGGCTTGGGGTAGGGATATGTGTTAATTTATTACAATTAATGGATAATTTAGTGAATAATATGAATAATACTCAGTATAATTACTGTTTTAACATTACTGTGATGGTTGGATTCAGGGGTAGAGGTTAATAAAATACAATTTAATGATTATTTTAATAAACATTATTAATAAAACTTGGTATAATTACTGTTTTAACATTACTGTGATGGGTGGGTTTAGAGTTAGATTTTAATAAAATACAATTTAATGCGTAATTTAATAAATAATATGAATAAAACACGGTATAAATACTGTTTTTACATTGCTTGATGGTTGGGTTTAGGGTTGAAATAAGGCTAGACGCTAATATAATACAATTAAATGGGTAATTTAATAAATATTATGAATAATATTCTTTATAATTGCTGTTTTTTCCACTGCTATGATGGTTGGATTTACGGGTAGTCGTTGATAAAATACAACTAATGGATAATTTAATAAATAATATGAATAATGCTCGGTATAACTACAGTTTTATATTACTGTAAGGGTTGGGTTTATGGGTAGGCATTTATAAATTACAGTTTAATGGGTAATTTAATAAATAATACGAATAATACTCTGAATAATTACTGTTTTTGCATTACTGTGGTTGTTTTTTAGAGTTGGAGTAAGGGTGGACGTTGATAAAATACAATTTATAGGTCATTTAAAATGTCTAAATATAATAATGTATTTCGAATGCAAGACACTGTAGTTTTCTTTTTGTCAGTGTCGTCGCTCCTCCAGACGTATGCTTTACATTTGTATGTTTTTCAAAGCGGTAAATGTATATTATTAGCTTTGATTGTGCCTGGCAGTAATGAGGGCTTTTCAGTGCCATATGAACAGGTAAATTATGAAGACTGAACCTCCTTAAGAAGCAGGATGAAAAGAGACTCTGTTTATTATTAACATCTTGTTATTATGTGTTGTCAGATAAAAAGGTTGTGCTTTGAAAAGCATGATGAATACAGAAGTGATGAGCTAAAAATGCTAAATTTAGGAGTTTACTTAAAAAAAGGCCAGACAGATGGAAAGGGTTGGAACCATATATATATATATATATATACACCATATATATATACCATATATATATATATATATATATATATATACCACATATATATATATATACCACATATATATATATATATACCACATATATATATATATATATATATATATATATATATATATATATATATATATATATATATATATATATATATATATATATATATATATATATATATATATATATATATATATATATATATATATATATATATATATATATATATATTATAATATATATATTATATTATATATATATATTATATATTATTATATATAATATATATTATTATATTATATATAATATATAAAATTATATAAATTATATAATTATATAAATTATATAAATTATATATATAAATATATATGTAAATATATTTATATTTATATGTATTATATATATATTATATATATATATGTTCATTCATTCATTCATTTTCTTTTCTGCGTAGTCCCTTTGTTCATCAGGAGTTGCCACAGCGGAATGAACCATCTGCTTATGTTTATCTACATTCCAGTGACATTATAACTAGTTTTTATACCTGTAGGAGCCATTTGTTTATTTTATTTAAAGGTCTGTGTTGTTAATCTTGATTTCTTTTATGTTGGAGATTTGCACCCCCTGCGGGAGCACATGGTCTTTAGACTTTTGTTGTGACTATCCTTGATCAAAGTTTCAATTTAGTCACATCTTGGGCCTGCTGGGAGCACTTAGACCTTACTTTCAGTGTTTGATGGCCAAAGTTGTTTGATTTTGTTTATTTCATTTTCATGTAGGTTTTTTGTTCAACTAACTCTGCGATAAACAGACACAAATGATGACTTATTGTTTCATGTATTATTTGCTTAGGAAGCATCTAAACTCCTCACCAGACCCAAGATGTGACTAATTTGAAACTTTGATCAAGGATAGTCACAACAATGACAATTAATATTGACATTTTTAATGGTGACACGGTGGCCCAGTGGGTAGCACTCTCGCCTCACCGCAAGAAGGTCACTGGTTCGAATCTCGGCTGGGTCAGTTTGCATTTCTGTATGGAGTTTTGGGTGCTCCGGTTTCCCCCACAGTCCAAACACGCATGTGGTACAGGTGAATCGGGTAAGCTAAATTGGCTGTAGTGTATAAATGAGAATGTGTGATGGGTTGCAGTTGGAATGACATCCACTGCATGAAACATATGCTTCATAAGTTGGTGGTTCATTCCGCTGTGGCGACCCCTGATTAATAAACAGACTAAGGGTGCTTTCACACCTGTGAATCGATTCAGTTGTTCCGAAACAGAGATTACAATTGTTACACTGCAATTGTATGCAATTGAATATGTCATTAGATATAGACAACAAGATGAATTAAATATAACATTTACATTTAGTCATTTAGCAGACGCTTTTATCCAAAGCGACTTACAAATGAGGACAAGGAAGCAATTTACACAACTAAGAGCAACAATGAATAAGTGCTATAGGCAAGTTTCAGGTCTGTAAAGTCTAAGAAGGGAAGTATTAGTAGTATTAGTATTAGTATTTTTTTTTTTTTTGTACAGTTAGTGCGATATTTAAAGAGGCAATTGCAGATTAGGAAGTGATAAAATGTGATATATTTTATAAATATAGTGAGATTAGATCCAGCGGTAGATCCTGGATGAACACACCGACGAGCACAGCTCTCATCTGGCTAGATAGGCTGCAGCGCATGCCAGTGTGTTTGTGTGTGTGTGGTCACGTGATGACCGTTTTCAGTGGTTTGGTGTAGAGAAACACTGGGTGAAATGCTAGCTGTTTTAAAACTAAAACATACTAGCGTAAACCGGGCCTTCGTTTATTCAATTCCCCTATAGCGCATGTGTTTAGACTGTGGGGAAACCGGAGCACCCGGAAGAAACCAACACCAACATGGAGAAAACTCCACACAGAAATGCCAACTGGCCCAGTCAGGACTCCAACCAGCGACCTTCTTGCTGTGAGCCAATAGTGCTAACCACTGAGCCACATTGCTGCCCTACACTATAACATTTGCACTGTAACATTCACAATACATAGAGTTTTTTATATACACATGCCTTACTGCTTTAATTAAGGAGATAAAGCTGATTTGTTATGGTGTTGTACAGGGTGTGGTGGGACGCAGCTTAAACAAACACATCAACAGAACATCTTAAACCTGCCTCAGCTTGAATCGAGGAATGCTGATCTTCCTGAACATCGCACACCAGCGCTAAATCTTTTAATAATACAAAGCAAATGGTGTTCCCTGATGCCTTGCTGTTAGATATTGGGCATAGCGCCTGGGAAAAAGCCATATCTGCTGTCACACACACCAAACCCACCTTTCAAGTTACTGAAATCGTCCTGGATGTGGTTTTGTTTGAATATGTTGAGAAATAAAGGGTGGTGTTTTAATAGCTTCAGCCTCCGCTTTGCTCATCTGGCAGGGATTTCGCCAATTTAAAGGGATAGTTCACGCAATACTAAAACTTTGGTCATTATTTAATCACCCTTCACCTTGTGTTTTTGAGTTGTTGAACACAAATTAAGGTACTTTGAAGAGAACTGGAAGATGTACACATTGACTTCCAGTGGGTTCAATGATGTCAAAATACGATGTTGATCCTGGATTGGCTACACAGTGGAGAAAACAAGTGTTGAATAAATCACCAGTTTTCTCAGAAAACATATTTCTAAAGGTGCTGCTGACTTGAAATTTTCCCCGGATGTTGGCAACAACCAAAGAAATCCATATATGCAAAGAAAACAAATCTAATTAGTATAAAAATGAAGTTATGTGTAATAAAAATAAAAGACACAGAGAAAAAGTATTGAACACATGAAGAAAGGAAGGTGTAGAACGGCAGTGAAAACCCAGACAGCAGCTGAAATCTCTCAGTAGCTCTTCAGCAAGCCTCTGCCATTCCTTAGTGTAAATGAATATCAGCTGCTTCAGTCCAGCATCTACAATAGCAGGAGGATGAGCAAATAAGAAGGGTATAAAGCAAATGAGGGAGAGCAAATGAGAAGGGTATAAATGGAGGTCGGACCTAACTACAAGCGGGCTGTACAAACCTCTAGTTTTTATTTATTTAATGTTTTGTACATGACAGAGTTGTGCTTTTTGAATGTCTACACCTACCCTGACCCTAAACCCAACCTCACAGTAACCTCATGTGTTTTATTAATGTCTACTCCACCTACACTACCTGAACCATCAAGCTGGATTCCTGGAGGGCCGCATCTCTGCACAGTTTTGCTCCAAACCTAATCAAACACAGCGGATCCAACTAATTAGAGATGGGTCTGGCTGCAGACCTGGTGCTTTGAGCTGCATCCAATGCTTTTTAATGGGCTCACCTAACCCCACCCCTAACCCCACCCGTCACAGTGATGTCACTCGCTCCATTTGAGTGCATTGTGTCTGACATTGCAACGCTGAGTGATGCAGTCTCAGCTTGCATCCTAAAGGCTGCATCCAGATACTATTGACTAAGTAAGGTGTTCAAGACTATCAAGCAGGTGTGACTTAAAGCTAAACTATGCAGAGCTGAGACCCTCCAGGGATTGAGTTTGAGACCATTGACCTAAACCCAGCCTACTTGTGGCGTAAATTCCTCCTGCTTGGATGTCACCTAACTTACTTGCGGTGTAATCCCTCCCACTTGGAGGTCTCTGGGCTGCAGCGATGCCTACTTGGAGTAAATAATGAGTAAATGATCATATTTGGGGGAACTGTTCCTTAAAGAAAATATCAGAGGCAGCCTGTTCTTAAAGTGACAGAGCAGAAATCTTCACAGGCTGACATGTCTGTTATGCTGACTGTTCTTTCATTTGTGCAGGTTATAGGCATCGCGATGGATGTTTTCACTGACGTAGACATCTTTAAAGAAGTGGTAGATGCCTCCATCAGGGGAGTTCCTGTCTACATTCTGCTCGATCACAATCACTTCAAGAGCTTTCTGTCCATGATTGAAAAACAGGACATCCAGATACAAAAACTCAGGGTACGTGTGTATGATATGATGAATATTAAAGACCCAGTTCACTAAAAAGGAAAATATGATTTACTCAGCATTCACTTGTCGAAAACCTGTTTGAGATCCATTCTTAAAATAAACCAACAATGGAAGCTACATTTTGCACAATATCTACTTACAGGAAAAGGAAAAGACACTTAAGGGAGAGTAAATAGTCAGTAATTGTACATATCTGGGTGAACTATTTCTCATTTGTTCGCTTCAAGTCATATCAGAATCAAAATGCCCCCCTGAAACATCATTTTGTTTTGAACTTGAATAAGTCAGATTTAATTAAAATGTGTCTGAAAGTCTCTTCTGCTCAAAAAAGTTGGGTTCATTTAATCAAACACATTCAAATTGATATAAATTTTATACATTTGCAAACAAATGCATTATTTTACAATCTTTAATGTATTGTCAGTCAAATCTTTGGGATAAATTAGATTTCGATCAATCAATCAATCAATCAATTGATCAATCAATAATAATAATAAAATGACTGTTTTTTATTTTTTATTTTTTACTTTTTTTATCCAGGGTCACATGTGATTGCTTTTACTAAACATTCTTTGCAGAAGCAATAAATAAATAAATAAAATAAATATAAATAAATATTAATTCAATTAATTAATTAATTATTTATTAAGAATACATGGATAAATAAAATACAAATAAAAATGTAAATACAAATAATAAATAATTGAATAAATGAAATACAAATAAATGAAATATAAATGATAAAAAATGAATTATGAATGAATGAATAAATAACGAATACAAGAATAAATAAATACAATTAAATAAATAAGATACAAATAAATAAATAAAATACAAATAATTGAATTAATGAAAATCAAATAAATAAAAAAACAAATAAATATAAATAAAGAATATAATAATAATATATAAATAAATATTAATCAATAATGAATTAATTATTTAATTATTAAGAATACATGAATAAATAAAATACAAATAAAAAATTTAAATACAAATAATAAATAATTGAATAATTGAAATACAAATAAATTAAATGCAAATAATATAAAAAGAATAAATGAATGAATGAATAAATAATGAATACATGAATAAATAAATACAAATAAATGAATAAATACAAATAAACAAAAAAGATACAAATAAATAAATAAAATGCAAATAACAATTGAATAAGTTAAATGCAAATAAAAAAAATACAAATAAATATAAAGAAAGAATAAATAAATAAATAAATAAATAAATAAATAAATAAATAAATTCATTCATTTGCTCATTAATTAATTCATTCATTTTTTTGGCTTAGTTCCTTTAGAAATAAATAAAATAAATAAATAAAATTTAAAATTTCAGCTGGATAGTGACTTTTAAAGACATCAAGGAGTTAACAGATATAAAAAAATTGATTAAAAAATGTCCTTATAGAAAGGTGTGGTGAGAAAAATCATAATTGCAGCTGTTTTTTTATGATAATAGTTGATACCCTGTGGGCAGAAGAGGGAGGGACGACCTTCTTCTTTAAACGTCCCGTCAACAGTACATGAATATTTCCATGCATTGTCATTCTCGACAAGCATTTACACGAAATCGATCATGCAGAAACAATTTTATTACTTTCTTTGAGTGCTTTTTGTAGAGGATTCTCAAAAGAACGACTTGCTTTTCCTGTGCTTTATGTTCCTGAACAAAGAAATAAATGTTCTGAGAGAGGAGCGCTCTGTTAAAGTATAAGAGTAGCAGCATGACGGATCTGCACACTGTTTCTGACATTTTGTTTTTCTGGTTATGTGCTCTGTCAATCATGTTTTTGGACACTGAGAGCAGCTACATATGTCAGACAGAAACAAATATATAATGAAGGTAAATGAGGAAATGTGGTCACACCCTGCAATCACATATACAGTATATAAATATTAAAACAAAATGTCATTTGATACCATTGACAAAATTTCTAATCAATATGGTCACAAAACCATTACGACATATGTTGCACGGGTATATTTTGGGAATACATTATGAATCAAAATTAGCTATTTAATTTAATTTAATTAATTTAGTTTAATTTAATTTCATTTAATTATTTGTTTACTTATTAATTTAATTTAATTTAATTTAATTTAATTTAATTTAATTTTGATTTTGATTTTGATTTTGATTAATTTGATTAATTAATTAGTTTATTTATTTATTTATTTATTATTTTATTTTTTTATTTTAAATTTTTAATTTTTGATTTAAATTTAAATTTTTTTAATTTTAATATTTATTTAATTTAATTTAGTTTTTTTTATTTATTTTATTTTACTTCAAAAGTCTTTAGAATTGTATTTACAGATTGAGCTTCATTAGGATATTTTGTAAATTCATTCATTCATTCATTCATTCATTTTCCTTCGGCTTAACCCCCTATTTATCAGGGGTCGCCACAGTGCAATGAACCACCAACTATTCCTGCATATGATTTATACAGCGGATCCGAATCCAGCTGCAACCCAGTACTGGGAAACTCCCATACACACTCACATTCACACACACACACTCATACACTACGGCCAGTTTAGTTCATCAATTCCCCTGTAGCGCATGTGTTTGGACTGTGGGGAAACCGGAGCACCCAGAAGAAACCCGCGCCAGCATGGGGAGAACATGCAAACTCCACAAACCACTGAGTCACTATATTTTGTACATTTTCTACTGTAAATATATCAAAAACAAATTTTTTTAGTGTGCCTTTCAGAAGACATATTGTACTTAGTTAAAAAAAAAATTGCATCCAAAATAAAAGGTAGTTTTAATATAATTTAAGTGTGTGTAGTGTATATTTATTATATATAAACACACACGTGCATGCATATATTTGAAAAAAAGTTTATTAATATTTAGATATAACATTTATTTGTATATGATGCATGTTACATATAAAAAATTAATTATCTGTGTAACAAAATTGTTTTGTATATTTTTTTGCTTGTGTGTATCACATACACATTATATACACTCACTGGCCACTTTAATAGGTACACCTGCTTGTTAAGGCAAATTACCAATCAGCCAATCACATGGCAGCAACTCAATGCATTTAGGCATGTCGACATGCCCAAGACGATCTGCTGCAGTTCAAACCGAGCATCAGAATGGGGAATAAAGGGGATTTGAGTGACTGTGAGTATGGCATGGTTCTGTTGGCACAAATGCCTTGTCGATGCCAGAGGTTAGAGGAGAATGGCCAGACTGGTTCCAGCTGATAGAAAGGCAACAGAAACTCAAATAAGCACTCGTTACAACCGAGCTCTGCAGAAGAGCATCTCTGAATACACAAGACGTCCAGATTATGAACTGTTATGAAGACAAATTTGTATTTTATTTATGTACGGCGTGACTAAATAAATCAATCAATGATTTAAGGACATTTGAATTTGCTTGTTTTCTAAATTGTGTTTAAATATTTTCCTCTCTTGGCTGTAGAATATGAGGATACGGACAGTAAAAGGCCAGGAGTACTGCTGCAAGTCTGGGGTGAAGTTTCATGGGGCAATGGAACAGAAATTTCTTCTTCTCGACTGCCAAAAAGTGTTTTTTGGATCATACAGGTGAGGCCTCCACCACATAGTCATTAAAAATTTAAATAAATAAATAAGTGCATACGTTAAATAAATAAATAAATAAATAAATAGATAAGTTAAATAAATGAAACAAATAAAAATACATACGTTAAAAAATAAAAATAAATAAAAAATACACAAGTTAAATAAAAATTAAAAATAAATAAAAATACATAAGCTATAATGTAATTACTAAAAAATGTAAATAAATAAATAAATGCATTTGTTAAAAAAATAAATAGATAGTTAAATAAATTAAACAAATTAATAAATAAGCTAAATAAATTCAATAAATAAAAACACAAAAGTTAAATAAATAAAATTAAATTAAAAAGAATAAATGAAGAAATTAATGAATAAAAATAATAAATTAAAAAAGTAAATAAAAAAAGTAAAATTACATAATGACGCATATAAATAAAAAGAAAGTAAAAGGAAGAAAAAAGATTGAATGAATAAAAATACATAAATTAAATAAATAAATAAAATTGTGTAACTAAATAAAATAAAATTACATAAATAAAATTAAATAGAATGAATGAATAAATGAATTAATTAATAAAAATACATAAATTCAATAAATAAATAAATAAATAAAATAAGTAAATTATATGCATAAAATAAAATTGAATGAAAGAACTAATTTATGAATGAATAAATTAATTAATCAATTAATAAATTAATTAATTAAAATGCATAAGTTAAATAAAAAGTAAAAAATGTTAAATTACGAAACAATCAATTAAAATAAAATAAATGATTAAATAAATAAATTAATAATGTAAAAATGTATTTAAATGAAATAAATACATAAATAAATAAATGAATAAATTAATTAATAAATTAATAAATAAATTAGACAGTCAGACAGACAGACAGATAGGTAGATCTCAAGAACCGTTGCGCTCATAAAATTAAGTGACAGTTATTTATTTGTTGAACTTCAATTCAAACAGGTGCCATGGAGGAATAATTACTGTTTTAGTTCATCATATTACATTCAGAAGTATTTTACTGACATTTGATAATCTGCAAATTCTATAATCTACAATATGTCTGTCTTTCGCAACCTAAAACAACTTGTTTTGTAAAGTATTTTGTAAAACTAATGACATATAGATTGATATAATTATATAATTCTAAACCATTCATACATTTGAGGGCAAAGCATCCAAATATCTCTTGGTCCCTTTATGTGAGGACTCTACAGCCATCCATCATGTACGTCAACAAACACTGCAAAAATTGGCAGCTTTCAAGAAGCGTTTTTAAATGATTGCAGTCATTACCCAAGATAAACTGCATTCCAAGGTATTTGTTTTGCTCTAAAAATACACACACAAATCTTTCTTTTTCTCTCCTTGAATATAAGAACCACTGGACTGCACTTTATTATAATATTTTTTATTGTATTTTTTTTTTTTTTTACATTTAAACTTTTTTTTATTATTTTATAAGAACCACTAGACTGCACTTTTTAATTTATTTTTATTTAAAAGTATTCTTTTATTTTATTTTTTTATTTTTTATTTTATTTTATAAAAACTACTGGGCTGCACTTATTGTTTTATTTTATTTAAATTTATTTTATTTAAATTTATTTTTTTATTCTATTTAAATTACATTTTTTTATTTTATTTTATTTTATAAGAACCACTGGACTGTACTTTTTTATTTTATATTATTTAAATTTATTTTATTTAAATTTAGTTTAGCTTTGTTTTATTTCAATTTATTTTTCATTAATTTTATTTTATAAGAACCACTGGACTGCACTTTTTTATTTTATTTTATTCTATATTTAATTTAATTTAATTTGATTTTTTAATTTAAATTAATTTAATTTAATTTTAATTTATTTTTCATTTTATTTTATTTAATTTTTTATTTATTTTATTATTTTTTAAATATATATATTTTTTATTTTTTCATTTTATTTATGTGCCAGGGAAGAATAACCCCTGGTTTAGTTCATCATATATAGAAGGTTTTTTAGTGACATTTGACAGTTGAAAAGTGATCATATGCAATATATCAAATGCCTAAAACTATTTTGTTGTAAAGACCTTTGTAAAACGAATGACACTTGCTTTCGTATAATTATATAATCCTAAACCTTTTAATACTTTTCTCAATGAGAGCAAAGTGTTGCGCCACTTTATATATATGAGGACTCATTTATCAAGTACATTTGATGTCAAAATTATTCAACCTCCTGTGAGTTTTTCTTTTTCAAATATTTTCCAAATAATGTTGAACAGATTCAGGAATTTTTCACAGTATTTCCTATAATATTTTTTCCTTCTGGAGAAAGTCTTATTCATTTTATTTCGGCTAGAATAAAAGCAGTTCTTAATTCTCTAAACCATTTTAGGGTCAAAATTATTAGCCCTGCTTTTCCAATATTTGTTTTGGATTGTCTCCAGAAAAAAAACACTGTTATACAATGACTTGCCTAATCACTTTAACCTTATTTAACCCAGTTAACCGTGTCATTTTTAAATGATTGCAGTCAGTTTAACCTTACCCAAGATAAACTGCACTGAATTTAATATCTTTATTTCTTGTTCTGCAGTTTCATGTGGTCCTACGAGAAGATCAACCTCAGCATGGTTCAGGTCATAACGGGCCAATTAGTAGAGACCTACGATGAGGAATTTCGAACTTTGTTCGCTCGATCCACAATCCCAGAGCCATTTGCTGTTATAAACCAAGCTGAAATGAGGATCAATGGCAAAACAGATGGATATCTGATCCCTTCCAGCAACACCTTCGAAAGGAATGATCATTTGCGACACACACTTGATGCTGTTTACAGACAAACCTGTGAAAGGAGATCAGGATTTTCAACACTGAGAGAAGTCGAAGAAAGGCCTCTTATTACACCACACGCTCGACTCCTTCAAGACACGTCTGAGTTTTACAAAAGACACAGCTACGCCGGAGAGCGCCAAGAGCCTGTATATCAGCATAAAGTCTCCAAATTTGGCTCCAGTAACTGGAACATTGCAGCAGAAAGCAACCGCTATGGTGGATACGTCAACAATGTGGACAATCAGTATGAAAGCTACATCGTAAATCCAATGTTCAGAAGCTCAAACATGCGGCAGTCATATCACGGGCACGACAAACACATCCTCAACATGAGGCAAAACCTGCCCAGCTTAGCGAACACCTCCAAGTCGTTCCTTCGGACATGGAGGATAGAGTCGTACCTTAATAACAACAACGATGCACCATATGGAGAGAACTACGATTATCTGGACCAATATGAGGAGAATAAAATGGCTCCTCCGCAACACTCTCGCATCAGATCGTCGATGGTTTTTACATCCACCATACCAGAACAACCCGAGACCAACAGCTACTCCAACAACTCCATGTCCTCCAGTTATGATCCGGCGCAAATTCAGTCAAACGCTCAGAGGATGTATTCGTCGACGCAGTGGAATCAGGCAGACATGCTAAAAAGGCGCAGTTTACAGGTTCTGGAAAACTCAGGGATTAATATGAGCTACAACTCTGGGAGGGATGCAATATATGCGAGTTTAAACCGAGCTAAAAGTAGATTCGCCATCCAAGAGCAAGATGATCGCTTTAAGAGGCACAGTTTGGCTGAACCTAGATGCAATACGTATAACAGCGACATAAACGAGACCTCTAGTTACATGTACGCATCTTTACCAAGAAGGCAACGAAGTTGCATTGCACCAACAATTGAGAATGCGAGAATTCTGCCGAATTTCAAGGAAGAGCAGAGATCGGTTTCGCATCAAGATTTCAACAAGGCAGATGAGAGTGCAACTACCTCGAGAAACACGTGGCAGGAGCCTCCAGTGAGAACGGTGTCAGCTTCGCTCCTGGACACGGAGGAAAGTCAACCTTCAAAACCCAGCAGCACATCATCCCAGCACTTCTTTAAAAAGAGCAGCAAGAAAATCAAATCCCTTCTAAACATCCCGCAAAAGAGCGACAGCTCGAGCAAAGGAAAAAATTCGGACAGCATCAAAATGGGAAGCAGCACTGATACAATTCTCTCAGATTGTGATGAGAAGAAACGACATGCTAGCACGGCCAATTCCAACAAATCCGTGGAGAGCGGCAAACTGCGGCGAGCTAATGGGAAGATTGAGAATCACTCTAGTGTCCTGGCGGGAGAGAAATCTGCTCCTCGGTTTAGCACTGAAGAGCTTCATCCTCCGCCCGTGAATGCAGAGGCTTCCCAATCGCAGAAACAATGCTCGGTTGTTGCTCCTAAAGAGAAGCAAGACTCAACAATAACAAGGCAGGATCTGTTGCCAAAGCAGCAAGCGCCAGCAAACAGGCTGTACAGCAGATTTGAGCCACTTTGTTCATTCGAACCCCGGCAGCCTACAGCAGGCCAGCCTTCATATGTGTCTGCACAGAGCCACGCGAGCGAGAAAACCAGGAATTCTGTCTTTCTAAGGAGACCGATGAATGAGCACAACAGTTATATGAACCAGCAGACGCAGGGACACGACAACAGACTTGGACGTTTCATTCAACGGGTTGGGAATTTGATACACAAGAACAAGTACTGAACTGAGCATGGAAACGATGTTGAGGTGAACAAATAGGTGCACAAATACTTTATTTTTAATGTCATGCACTGTCTTGCACCTTCCAGCTGATCAGATTAAACACCCTAATACGCTTATTTCACGCGGCCGCCATTTTAAAGAATCAAAGCGAGGCTGTGGTGGGAAGAAACACGGAAGTATAGGTCCAGCACTGTAAACATTGCAGTAACATGCCGTGTACTATAAACCTCCAGATTTCAAAATTCAGAAATGGTGTAACCATCACTTTAATATTATTCAGTAAGTTTATTTTAAACAATTAAAAGCAATTTAGCATCAAGCAAGATCACAATCTCAGTGATACGCTTAAGTGTCCTCCTAGGCTTCAGCTCATGGCACTAGTTAAACACCGTGAGGACGCTTTCCTGCTTCAGCCTATGTGAGTGATACCCGGTGAGTGATAAAACACTGCAGTCCTCTGCAGCACACCCTCGTGTTGTCTGTAATAGTGTTGTCCTGGTACTGAAGTTTTAAACCCGGCTATTTCCCGCTAATATCGAAGAGCCGCTGAGCGTGGATGTCTCGACTGATCTTCATGGCTTCGCGCTTCAGTCTCTGTGTATCTGTGTTTGGTTTGCGCTCAGTTTACCGTTCTTCACCCAGTGCAAACACAGATACACGGACTGGAGCGCGAAGCAGCCGTCAAGATCAGTCGAGTCATCAAGCAGATCGCTCGGCTCGTCTGTGTTTGTGCTCAGTATACAGCGGTGGGTGAACTGATGACCTTCTCGGCCAATCACAAGCATTTCTGTTGACCACGTGAACACAATGGCAAATCAGCGCTGTTTCAAGAAAGCCATCAACAGTGCCTTAAATGTTAGCGTGAAATTGCCGATTTTTCTTTTAATTCAGTATCATGACGAGTCTAATATAGTGAAAGATTCAGTTCATTAACTCGAGTTTGATGAATGGCATCTAAAACATGTGTTTGGGAAAGAAAACGTCAGCTAACTAGTGCCATTTCCCTTCACTTAGCTGAAAATGAGCTCTGATATCCCTTTTTACCTTCACCATTCATTCAGAACGGACCTCCAGGTCACCCGGAAGGCGGACAAATTATAAAATTGTGTCCCTTTCTCTTCGCTGATAAGATATACAGCCAGTTACACAACATTCCTATGTAACTCCCAATGATACTTCCGGGTTTCTTCCCACCGCAGCCTCGATTTTGCTTTTGAAAATGGCGGCCGCGTGAAATCAGTCTATATACTTTAAATCAGTGGTCCCCAACCTTTTTATGACCGTAGACTGGTCAAAGCTTCACAACTTTGCCGTGGCTTGAAGGGTGTAGGTAATTGGGTGGTCTACATAGGGCGTACTCACACTACGTACAGTTGCCTTGAACCAGGCCAAAGCATGCTTATCCCCCTTCCTGTCTCCCACGACAGCCCGCACTCACATTACATTCAGGCCTGGGCACGCTTAAGTCATCGATGATGTGCTGTTCAGTAAGAAGCGCTCACGCTCAGCACAGTGGAGATTTCTCTAGTTATATCGTTAAGTCGTTTGGGCTGCAGTGACATGCAGTCAAATATTTCGCCGAACAGATCAGCCACTTTTAATGCTTATAAACAATCATAAAGTCTTGGTGCTGCAGGAATTAGGAGGTTTGCTGAAGGTGCAGCTGTGGTTTGCATCTTTAATAATCTACGCCAGTCCCTTCAAAGTCACGCCTCATCTTCAGTTTCGGGCTTAGGCACGTTTTGCACTCACACACAAGCGTACCACGCCAAAGCCCAAGTGAACCGTGCTCTGGCACACCTCGTCCAACCTGGCCAGGGCCAGCCAAGTGAACCGTGCCTGAGCCCAACTCAGAGCACTTACACCTCTCAAACAATCCGGGAAACGGGCCTGGGCACGATTCTGATAGCATAGTGTGAGTAGGCCCATAGATTCCAGAGTGACTATCAACCGTTTTCCTAGAATATGACAAGCTGACAAAACATTGCTGCAACTCTGATACAAGTTTTATTTAAAAAATAAAAAAACAATGAGTGTTTCAAAGATAATTAGTCAACCAAAATCTGTATATTCCATACAAATATAATGTTGATCGGTCAGTTCTCACGTTACTTGTGAAAAAGACGCAAAATGTGAACAGCCGCCATCATTTGCGATCTCCAGCAGTTGATCTTTTTCTCTCAGAGACATGCTGGATTCACCAGGGGTGCAACTACACATCAAGTGGGTCAAGTTTTGCCCAAGCCCCCCAATTTAATCAGTTAATCAAAGAGCTTAGAATGACCAAGAGGCGACACTCAATAGATCGTTCCATTTCAACAGCAGCCCCTGATTCCGCCTTTTTGGAGTGAAAGAGATCGGCCGTCCATTGGATCTTATTGCTGTTGCGATGGCAAGCAGCTGCTTTGTTTTTTATTTGTTTATTTTAAAACGCGCATTAAAGCTGAGATACAACCTGAAAGATGACAATACAGCACTTACTATAACAATCATCAGCAATTTTAATAGTTTATTATACAGACTTTTATTATGCTGTTGTTCTTTTAGAGTTTTCCTTCCAAAATCGCCACCCTGCCATCTAGTGGCTGTTTCACAAATCGGACTGGAGTGTCGCCTCTTGGTGATTCTATGCTCTTACATCTACAAGAACACTTTACACTAAGCTGTGTGTTTGCATGTTATTGTTTTAAATGATTTTGAGTAAAAAGTGTGTGTAATGTATGGTATAATTTTTTTATTTATTAAAATACAATATTAAACTCGTATAAAATGCAAGCTAAATATTTTTAACAAAACAGATTTATTTATTTTTATTACTTGAAACTTTTATTGAGGATAAATTCAAAAATCAGTTTGGCACAATTTTTCGAAGATATTTTGCCGTTTAAAGTGACCGGAATGAAATATAAAATGCAGTCATTTTTCAAAATAACAGATTGTTCAGACTTAGATAATAAATAAAACAAAATAAATAATGATTTTATTTGCAACCCAGATGCAGCCCAATTGATCCACAGACCAGTACCGGTCCTTGGCCCGGGAGGTTGAAGACCACTGCTTTAAATATACCGGAGCGATTTTAAATAAAATTTGTCCAAAATAAAAGATTTTGTTTAAAGCAACTTGGATATGTACATTTTCGAAAGTCAGCTTAGGCTTTCCAATTTTCAGGCACATTTTATCAGTTCACCTTTAGTAAACCTCCTGCACATGCTTTCAGATGCGACCCCTGATAAATAAGGGACTGAGCCAAAGGAAAATGAATGAATGAATGAATAAATGAACGAACGAACGAACGAACGAACGAATGAATGAATGAATGAATGAATGAACGGACGAAGGAACGAAGGAACGAATAAATAAATGAATGAATGAATAAATGAATGAATGAATGAACGAAGGAACGAATGAACGAACGAACAAATAAATGAATGAATGAATGAATGAATGAATGAATGAATTAATGAATGAACGAACGAATGAATAAATTAATTAATGAATAAATGAATGAATGAACAAATGAATGAATAAATGAATTAATGAATGAATGAACAAACGAATGAATAAATGAATTAATGAAAAAATGAATGAATGAGCAAATTAATGAATAAATGAATGAATGAACAAACGAATGAATAAATGAATGAATGAACAAATGAATGAATGAATGAATGAATGAATGAATGAATGAATGAATGATATGTCATTTCCATGTACTGAACTATTAAACATTCATTCATTCATTTTCCATTGGGTTAATCCCTTTATTTATCAGTGGTCAAAACAGTGGAATGAACCGCCAACTATTCCAGCATATGTTTTACACAGCGGATGCCCTTCCAGCTGCAAACCAGTACTGGGAAACACCCATACACTCCCATTCACACACACACACTCATACACTACGGCCAATTAAGTTTATTCAATTGACCTATAGCGCATGTGTTTGGACTGCGGGGGAAACCGGAGCACCTGGAGAAAACCCACACCAACACGGATCTGTTAAACAACTATGCTTGAAGTCTTTCATTCTATGGCACTTTTAACATCCTAAAAAAGCACACACTTTGGCTTCGATAATAAATAAATGCAATGTTTACTTGAACACATCAGTGCTAATGTTTGCCAGCGTTGAAGGACGATGCTGCAAGCTCTATTACGTACACTGTTACTATTTTGTACTAATAATATTTGTACATTTATAAGGATGTCTTGAATGGGGATCTGTTTTTTATGAGCAATTGCTGTTTTGAAATACTACCTGAGGTTGCAACCCCTAATTTGGTCTGATTAAAAGCTGTAGTAAACATCCATTCAAGCTTCAACTGCACATCAATCTGTGCAAACACTTTCCCAGAATTACCCAGACTGTTGACACTGAAGTGCTGGAACGAATGCAAGATAAATACTTACTGGTTTGTGGCTAATTGGTGCTTAGGTGTCTAACAGTGACTGACAGATACTGAACTGGCTTTGCACTATATGTATAGGTCATGGTGTTGCTCGATTAAATTGTGTTACAAATGAACCAAAACAAAAAAAAGGTGAATTAATTTCACAAGGTGCACATGTACATTATATCGACATTAAGAAACATCATCAAAATGCTATTTTCCTGCAATTGCAGCTTATTTTTTGTATGTTTTTTGCACAATCACTGTTGCTTTTAACCAAAAAGGCTACGTTAATAAATGAACCGTCATTGAATACACCTGAGTCTAAAATATTGTGTGATGATTAGGTGTTATTTACAGTAAGTGCTATATTTAAAGAATCTAAAGTATTTCTGGACTTACTGACACATTCATTCATTCATTTTCCTTCAGCTTAGTTTCTGTTTTAGAAGTCACCACCGCAGAATGAACCGCCAACTATTCTATACGTTTTACGCAGCGAATGCATTTCCAGCCACAGAATAATACAGAGAGAAGTCTCAGCTTTTGCTCTGTGAAGATATTCGAATACATAATTATAATACATAATCCTCAAACAATGCTGTATAAACACATCACACTGGTCTCCATGCGATTAGACTCCATATGAACACCACTGGGATTCTGGGATTGCCTACAGCACTCAGCCTGGAGCAGAATCACATACAGAGGCGTATCGCAAGGGCACGCCAGTCGTGTGATAACGCTCATGCATAAATCAATACTCGTGCAGTCTCGTGAGATTGGCTTTACATGGGGAACTATTAATTGCTGAATTATTATTTTATTTTATTCATTCATTCATTTTCCTTCAGCTTAGTCACTGATTTATCCCCACTGCAGAATGAACCACCAACTATTCCAGCATGTTTCATGCAGCTGATGCCTTTCCAGCCACAACTCAGTCCTGGGAAACCCATCCAC